CAGCAAAGTCCGACCAAGATTCCCCCATTGTCTCCCCCATCACTCTAACCCCCCCCCCTCCACCTCCAAAAAACTCCCACCTCAACAAGTAGCGTAACATAAAAAAGAAGGACCTGGAGGAACAGCTCAGTATCAGGCTGCTCCTCGCCCTGATGAAGTGGACTGCAAGGCCCACGATACGTTGACACATCAAGAATGGACCAAGACATGGAGAAAACCCGCGAAGCACAGATTGGTTTAAAGAAATATTTTTTAAATGTTTGTTTAATGTTTATAAAATGTTTATTTTACATTATGTATTCATTTAAAATGTGATGATAAAAAATATTTATTTCACATTTATTTCATATTTATTTAACGTTTAATAAATATTCATTTTACATTAATTATTTGTTTGAAATAACGATTTATAAAAAATGGTTTATTAAATAAATGTTTATTAAATCTTTTTTAAACGTTCATATGACGTTTAATAAATATTTGTTTTTTATTATTTATTTATTTAAAATATGATTAAAAAACATTTATTTAACATTATCTGACGTTTATTATAAATATGTAAAAAAATTATTTTCTAAAGCTCAAATTAATAAAAAATGGGTCAGAATAATAAAATAATCACGGAAAAGAAGTTAACACAATATAATTGCGTTAAGTGTACGTATATGGTATATATCGTAAATTTTAAGTTATTATATTTTAAAGTTATTATATTATTAGAGAATGTGGTGTGTGTGTGTGAGGCAATGGGCCAAAACACAAAGTAACGATCTCATTAAAATGAATAAACAGAAAAAAAGGAAGCTAGATTATTAAAAAATTGAAATTTTACTCTGAATATTAAACTTTAATAAATATATAATACATATAAAACATTGAAAATTCACTATGTTTAAAACATTTATTATAAAATAAGTAATCAATAAAAATGTTTATAAAAAATGTTAATATCTACAGCACAAAGTTGCACAAAAGTTGCAGTAATATTGCAGAGATTTTGCTGCGATATTGCTGCAAATTTTATGCTGTATGGGCGTTATAAAAAAATATTTATACGCTATATAAAATAACAGCCCTTCCGTACTAGAATACGGATACCGAACTCTGCCGTTATGATCTGTAACGATAGGAGTCCTACATATGCCGAGGTAATGGGCGACGCGAGATTTGGAGTGTCGTTAGAGCATTTTGGAATTATGGACACTAGGATTAGAAAGGCCCAGATTGATGATCTGCTAAAATACCGGGAGATGGTTCCGGCTCTAGACAGGCAAATTAGCGGAGAGCCTCAATTTTCTTTTTCAAAATGGAGAGAAAATCAAAATAGTGCGACCTGTGAGAAAGGTAGAATTTCGCCTATTCGATTTAGACTACTTAGTGACTTCGGAGGACGTTGCCTTTAGGAGTTTGCCTGCTAACCATAAGGCTGGGAAGGGATCCCTTATAATAGCTCTTTGCGTGTTACTCAGATTATCAAAGAGATTAATAATGATGAGGGTGGTGATACATGCAATGAACTAAGCTCTGCTGCATCTTTGACACGAGATGTTCCCTCTGCGGAGGGATAGTGATGGATCCTCCCGATGGCTAATATTGACCAGATTAATATCGATAGGTCGAGGCCTGCGCAGGATTTTATCGCGCGAGTGGGGAGGAACGGCTAGGCCTGGTGACGGTGTCGGAGCCACATTCGGTTCCCGTCGATGACCGATGGCACTTTCATTAATAATTCATTAATAATTCACTGACTGCTGCCTTGGTCTGGCAGTACTCTTGCTTTGAAGTGTCGTGTTCTCCCTTATTTAGAGGAGAGGGGTACGTAGCGGTTGAATGGGGGAGGAGTGATGGTGTTTAGCTGCTACTTCTCTTCTAACGTACCGAAGATAAATTTTGTAAGAGGGCTGCATCTTGACGCGCGGATTTCAGCATGCGATCAGAGACCATTGCTGGTCTTGGGAGATTTTTCAATGCCCGGTCTTCCGAGTGGGACCGAGCTCGTGTAGAAGTAAGTAAAGGTAAGATTCTGTTGGACTGAGCAAGGAATTTTGATTTGACCCTCCTTAATAGTGACTTCGAGCCCACTTGCGTACACCCACGTGATAGGTCTTGCGTAGACCTCTCATGGGCTTCGCCTGCTGCGATCAGGTACGTCAGTGATTGGCGTGTTGCGGTGGACATCGAGTCTCTCTCAAATCATCGATATGTCCTCATGAGGGTGCGAGAACGGATTGCTGGCCCTCTCAGGAGAGTCACAGCTGCTAAACACTTTCCGAGATGGTGTGGTGGCAAGCTCAATGCGGATATGTTGATCGCGGCAGTTAACCTAAAGGCATGGTCCCCTCCCACCTCCTCGTGAGGATATGGCGGCGAATAAATTGGCGGACGGTCTGGGTCGGGCGATTATAGAGATTTCATCTCCATACCGCGGCTGAGAATCACCGGTAGACCTTCGGTCTATTAATGGAATGAAGAGATTGTCAAATTTCGAGCTTATTGTGTGCGGATTTGGAGGCAACTGATGCGCCTAAGATACCGCGACTGTGAGGCTGTCCGGGATCTTTGGCGTGAACTCTGTGATGTTAGGAGGCCGCTGAGGGGTTACATTAGGCGATCCAAGATGAGCCTTTGATGTGAACTCCTCGATATCCTTAACCGGGATCCTTGGGGCACGCCATATAGTTGTCCTTAATAAATTGCAAACAGGGACGAATAAAGTGGTGGAGTCACTCCCCCCCCCTAGAGTGATCGCGGATGTTGTAAGGGTTTTAATCCTTTCTGGAGTGAGGGATATCTCTCTCTCTCTCTCTCTCTCTCTCTCTCTCTCTCTCTCTCTCTCTCTGGGATTTCCATTTTCATTCTCCCTCATTCCATCTTCTTCCATTTGCCTCCTCTACCTCTCTCCCATCCTTCCTATTCCCCCATCTCCTTTCCCCTTCACCCTCCTCATCCATTCTTCTCTCTACCCTCTTCCCCCGACACCCATCCTACCGCCACCCCCAGCTCTCTGATCCCATCCCTTCACTATCCAGTCTCTACATCTTTTCCATGTATGTTCCTAAGGCTCTTCCTCCCCTCCACACAACCTACATACTCTCTTATTCTCTTTCTTCCAGTATAAGCCTTCCCTCATTTCATTTCCTAATCTATATCTTATTATTCTCCTCCACCTGCTTTCTCCCCATACCTTCTTCAGATATTTCGGGATCCCTTCTGTTCTAATTGCCTCATACCAACTATTATATCTGGAATCCCTAATTTTCCATCTTCTTTCCTGCCGCTGTTTCTCTCTATCTTTCTTTAACAACTCCCCAAACCACATATTTTCTTCCTCTCTTCTCCTTTCTACTTCTCTTACATCCCACTCCCTGTTTTCAAAAAAATTCTTTTCTTTCCCTTCGCAGTCTGAGCCTATTCTGCCATCTCTGCTTCTCTCTCTCATTTCCTTCCAACATATCCTCGTCAACTCACTTCCCTTTCCCCTCTCCAACTTTTTCTCAAAACTCCATGCTCTTTCCCCTGTTCTTTCTCGTAATTTATTCCTTTTAGTTTCCTCTCTGATTAAATAACTTGGCATCTTAAAATCCAATCCGAAAACTCATCTTAAATATCTTTCTTCTAGCCTTTCTACTTTCTCTCTTTCTTTTCATCCCTATACTTCCGTAGCTTATTATCATCCATATCACATTATCAAATAACATTCTTTCTTCTACTCCAGTCCTTATCAAACCTCCCAATTCCCCATACTTCTCCCAGTATCATAGCTGCCTTCTCTCCTTAATCTGTGCCTCCATTCTTTTGTAACATATATCTTAAGTATGTAAATTCCTTTACCTCTTCTATTTTTTTTTCTTCACCATCAATTTTTCTTATTTGTTCTTCCTTTTTCTTTTCTAAATCTCATTATTTAGTCTTGTTTACGTCCAATCTTTTCCTCTCCAGATATTCCTCCATTCTGCCTATCATGCTTCTTATCCCCTCCTCATCCTTCGAAAGTAACACGATATTGTCCGCATATGCTAGCTTATAAATTTTTCTCTCACCTAATCTGATTTCTCTCCACTTCCCATCTCCTCCTCCAAATCTGCTATTACTATGTTGAATAGCAACAGGCTCAGCGGACTTACTCCCTTCGCGGTCCAGAAACTCTTTCCTGTCTTTCCTCCCACTCTCACCGTTTGTTTCGCTTAACACTTTTTTGACTCTCTCTATCAATCCCTCTTTTATCCCCCCTTCTGTCATTGCTTTGTACAGAATTCCCCTGTCCACTGAGTCGAATGCCGCTCTTAGATCCACGAACAGCGCCATCGCTTTCTTCCCTATTCCCAATTGTCTATTCATTATATAATTTATACGATGTAGATGTTATCCATTCCTATCCCCCTTCTAAATTTGATTCTGCGGGATCATCTTTTTTTCCTCGCACTCCGTTTTTATTTTTTTTAACATCATTAAATAGATTTTGTGTTGTCATTAATATTACTCTCTTATATTCCTTTATTTTTCTTCCTTTACTTTTCTTCACGATCGGGATTATTACTTCTTCTTTCCATTCTTCCGGCCATCCATCCCCTCTTCATAGCATGTTACAAAATTATATCCAATCCAATAACTTCTCCTCATATTTCCATACTTCTCTTGGCACTCCATTCACTCCTACCGCTTTTCCATCTTTGATTTTTTTAATCACCTCCACAATTTCCTTCTTGCTTATCTCCCTCTCCTCCTCCTCCCTTACCTTACTCCTTCTCTTACTCTCTTCCATGTTCCACTCCTAGTACCTTCATAAAGTATTCTTTCCATTCCTCTTCCTCAATCCCATCTATTCCTTTTCTTCTCTTCCTTCCCTTATTTACAATTTCCCATACATCCCTTTCTCTTTTACTTGTTCTGCCTCCCTCAACCATTCTCCATTTCTTCCTTTCGTATAACTCTCTGTATTCTTTTTTCCTTTCAATGAATTTCTCCATCCTTTCCCTTACCCTTTTCCCTTTCCTTAATTCTTCTCTTACCTCTCTCTTCTTTTTCCTGTATTCCTTATCCCAGCATCTTCCTTTTTTTTCTCTCTCTCTTTTTCTGCTCCTCTTTCATTTCATTTAATGCTCTCTTAATATTACTCTTCATCTCTCTCTCCATTACTGTTCTATCTCTGCTTCCTCAGTTTTTCCTTAAATTTCTCTCTTCCCTCTTCATCCCATGTTACTCTCCCTGTTTCTTGCACTTTACTTTTCCTCTTTCTCTTAAATGTCTTCTTCTTTGTCTTCACTCATATTTCCAATAAACATAATTATATATTCTAATTTAATATATACATATAAATTATATATTATAGAAGCATAAGTTTTTAAAACAATATGTATGTAAAAGGTATGTATCATTTCTTGTGATTGTTACTGAATGTATAAGGAATTATTATTTACAATTAATAATATAAAAACATTTCCATAAGTTCATATTGTCTTTATTTTAGTATACAAAAATACAAATAGTTGTAAAATATTTTATTTTAAATATATAATATTATCCTCATTATTATAATATCTGCAAAAGTTATCTCACATTTTTAACATTTTTCAGTTATATTTGTATTATTTGAGGATAAATATGTACGATAAGTTTGCATAATATTTGTACAGTTGTTTCATAAGAAAATTATTTATAAATAATAAGTCATTGTTATTATGGTAGCTTTTTTTGGCTCAAGATGTATAGGTCTTTGAAATATTTAAATTTTTTAATCTGTTTGCTAATATGCGAAGACCATCTTCTGCAGCCGATCAAGCACGAGATAATGTATTGTATAATTAAAATATCGTTGTTCATTGTTACATTTTTGCTGACAATAAGGCTTCATTAAATTTGTATTTCAATGTGAATGCTTCATCAGTTACAAAAGTGGGTACTTTTTTTTGTACTATTCAGTAATGTAGAAAGAGGTAGCAAATTTAAAGCATTTTTTTGGAAAAGTTCTCAAAGTTTAGAATAAAAATATACAGCTCCATCAGATATTCGACCATCAATACCAACGTCAACTATAATAAATTCTCTGTTAGCATTGACTATTGTTAATAAAACGATACTATAAAATCCTTTATAATTAAAGTATGTAGATCCGAATTTGAAGGTTTTATTATACGAATGTGCTTGCGGTCTATAGCACCCAGTTTCAAAATTCATATTCTCTTCCAAAATCATATGCAATATTTTTCCAATCTTCGCTTGTTAAAGGAAACTATAAAATCAGAAAAAAATTATTATATATAAATATTTATATATAAATATTATATATAAATATTTATTTTTTAAAAGAAAAGTTATAATAATTAATACAGTACAGTGCGTGTGATGTACATTTACAATAAAATTAATAGAAATAGATATAGAG